TAGCTATGTCCAGAAAACATTTATTTAATATTAAACAAATAAGGAAGTTTAGTTTTTGATGGCAGTATGTTTTTGATGGGAGTATGTTTTTGATGGCAGTATGTTTTTAATAGCTCTTTTCATACTTATATAAGTAATTGAAACAAATATATATATGCAAACAATATTATATTATGATAGTATAATGATATTCCCAGAATAGGTGTATACAATGTGTATTTTTGTAAAAATCAATGTATATATTAAGTCAAATAAAGCAAATTTTCAAATTAATTTTTTTAGGAAGTTTAGCACAAGGAAAGTAATGGCAACACAAGGTTGGCAGTGAACGTATTAAAGACGTATTCTGTCTAGAGGCTTGAATTTTTGACGTTTTTTGAAAGACTGTGACAAAGGTAAATACAATTTTTACTATATTTTTTTACAAGCTAAAATAAAAAATAAAAATACTTTTAATTATAGAAAGTGATGAGGGAGTAATTCTAAAAATTGAATTTTGACTAGGGCCCATCTACTTAATATGTTGCAATCGTATGAACTGCGAACAAGTTAAAATATTGTTTTTCTGTAAAAAAAAAAATTAAACTCTCGATTTTTTAGAAATGGTGGACCAGAATACCTCCTTAGCCAAAAACTCTTGATCCAAAAAAAATAGGTATTCGAGGATCACTTAACAAGCAACTAGGCACAAAATAATCATTGTCAATTAATTTGATAACTCCTAAACAAAGTTTGCCCTTAAATAATATTTTTCTGAAACAATTGTGTCGAAATATTATTTTGATCTATAAAATAGCTTCTTTCAATAAAATTTTAAACTTTTGGAGTATTTTCTCTGAAAAATCCGCCGTCACTGCCTTCGGAAACAGCTTTACGACTGCGAGGTGGCATCTCATCTGTTTCATTAACGCCTTCATTGTTTGGCGGTCGATTGGTGGTTCTGATATTCAGATATTGTGTATCTAATTAAAGAATTTTCATGTAATTAACTGCGGCAATTAAAATTCTAATTGCTTCACCATACAACTGTGAGTGTGAGAGAGAAATGCAATTTTAGAAGATGATCTCGGCTTTTCATCTTAAATTGATAAATGTCTATACATGAAAACAGCATTCTTTATATTTTTTGTCGATAATAGAAGTGACAGTGATTGCAGTCAATACTTCAAAATATATTGATCAAAAGTTTTCTTTAAAATTCTGTTGATACTACATATTTAAGCATCAATTTCCAGCACGCGCCAAACATTGGATTCGTTGGTTCTTTACCTGATGCCCGAATTAAAATGATGACACCTGAGTCTTCTAAATTAAATCTTTATAAGGGTTGTTCCTATGTCACGTGGCTATTCATGTAAATTAAGTTCGCGTGACCTAAGTACGCGTGTAAGTTGTCTTGTCCTCGTGCCAAGGTCCACCATTTTAAGAACTTTTTTTGGGTTTGAAGACCCTGTGCAAAGGGTGATATGGGTTGAAGGGAACCGAGATAGTAAGTTAGAGGATGATATGAATCTGTACAGATTTGATTAGTTTTGGATCAGAATTTTAATTTCTATGAGAAATCAAGAAGTTTTATAATATTTGGAATGATATAATGAATATATATTATATATATGATATATATATTATATACATATATATATACATAATAACTCCATTTTTGAAAATTTTACTCAGAACGCCTAAGAAACCTAGTTTATCAGATAAAATGCTCAGATTGCGAACTCAGTTTATAGGCGAAAAAAGCCAAAACTCGGAAAACGCCTGCATAAACACAAATTAATTCCAAAATAGCAAACAACAATTAAAGAATAAAAATTGACTACATAATTACAATACCTAAGTAACAATTTACAAGTTTTAAATAAACATATATTGAAAAAAAATCACAGTATCACAATTCCAATAGATTGTTACAAATTTCCGACTATGGATTAGCAATAAATTAACCAAAAAAAATTGTATAAATAAAACTAATTTTAACTTTTGTCTATTAGCAAATTTTCTGTTTCCTTAAAAATTGCAAACTGCGGCAAATATGTCTAAAACATACGACACATTTATCTTATCTATATTGCACGCGTGAGGTAAGTTCTAATTGTTCTATAAATAAAGTATTCCGATATGATTTACGCTGAATTTGCAACTAATTTCATTAAGTATGTGACAGAGTAAAAATTATCCTGGATAGATATGATATATTGGAAAATGACTCATAACAAAAATATAAAAGAAAATGGTCAATTTAAAGATCACCATACTATATTAAAAAGTTGCAGTAGTAATGTAATACATTTATAAGCAAAAATAAATTATCGATTATTTATATCGATTATTATAAGATGATAGCACGTTTTATGATACACAATTAAATATATTTTTAACCATGCATGAGCTTTTAAATACATTTTTTCGTACCAGTTTTAGTGAATGTCGATCTGTATCTTACATTTAAAGTTCTATAGCACATACTATAATTGAGCTCATAATGATATGGTAGTGAACAACTGCCAGAGGACCGTTATTTCGAACTCTGAACTAAAATAGTGACGGGACCAGCATCCCTATCAAATTATATATTTTGGGAGTACGTAAGTTGTTTTGTTAGCAGTTGACTCAATGCGAAAAGCTGAACATGGGACAAACATTGCGCGGAGCAGTCGCCGACGGTTTTCTCAATATTATACATAGCATATGGGTTAGTTTATTTTATATGCATATAAATAAAAAAATTTGTAAAAAAATGTAGATAAAAAATAAATTGTCAATTTCATTTATAAATTTTTTGGTTTTAACATTAATACAACAAAGAAAAAGAAATTCGTAAAATTTGAAATTTACTCTATATTTAACGATTTACTCTTAATTTAACATAAACATTTATATCAAAATATATTTCATATTTTTTTATTAAAGATGTTATTCCTGGAAATGCAATTAAAATATCAATTACGCACAAAATTATCAGTAAAATATTAAGTTTTAGTTGTATATTTTTCACATCAAACGAAGCTTTCTATAATAAGTAGTTTAATTAATGAAATCAGATATTAAAAATTAATTTAAACTTTGATAAATTTTGAAAGTCCACACATTACATCAAAAAAGTTTAAGCAAGAAAAAATGTTATAAAACGTTTAAAATAAATTTCTTTGTTGTGTATTCAAAGTTCAATAAAGTAAATATTTAATACAGTTTTTTTAAGAAAGAGGGAGGTATTATACTAATCACCATAATTATTTCAAAAATTCATCACTCTATTTATCCGCCTAAAAATAAATTTTGATTTTGATGATCATTGAAAAAACTTCAATTTAAATATTAGTTCTTAATATGAAATTTTATTTTAATTTGTAGTAAATTAAACAATAATAAATATACTTCTTATTCGAGCAATAGATGATCATAATGAATAATTTGTGCGGGTGATAAATAAATCTTTATTATTTAAAAATAAATTATGATTTAGAAGATATATGAAAATTTTAATTTAAATATTTTAATAACAATATGTTATTTTTTTTATAGAAGTTAAACAATTATAAATGTATTTTAATTTCACTTATTTAATAGATCACCATAATAAATAATATGTGCGGGTTTATAAAACTTATGGTTTATTTAATGTAAAACCTATTGATAATACTAAAGTATTAAATTTATATTCTATGTTACTCATTCGAATCAATCAGTTTTTTTATTTATATGTACTTAAATTAATACAAGTTAAAGTTAATATCACAATTTTATTACATGTGGGACAAATCACTGTTAGGCAAGTTTTATAGCACTTTGATTAAATTTTATTTTATATATAGTGAAATATTTAATATCCCTTTTTATGAGATATAAATTTATTTTTAAGTATACGTCATTTTTTACATCAAATAAAATTTACACTGTATTAAATTTAATACTATCATAAGTAAAAATGATATCTGTTAGTGAATAGAATAAAAAAATAAATACAAAAATTAAGAAGAAATCTGCACGTCTATATGAAGAGTAACATTCATTTTTTTTATAAATAAATTTATAATGTGTTATTTTAAATATTACTGTTTTTACATTAAACACAGCAATAAATTAGCTAGGCCACAAGTAATAATAATATTTGGTATATTGAACCACGAGTGAATATAAAAGATATTTATATTAAATTGCAAAATTAACAAATATCTGTCACACTCACGTAAATTCAAGTAAAAAGCAATACACTCAATTTTTTAATAACTTTATTTTTAAGTATACGTTGTTTTAAAATCAAAAAATAACACAGCATTGAATTAACTTACACAAGTGATAATAATATTTGCTATATTAGAACATTCTATAAATTAAGAAGAAATCTGTCACATCCATGTAAAAACTATATCCACTCAAATTTTCCAACTATCATAATATCAAACGAACAAAACTTTTCATTAAAAACTTTAAAGCTCCTATCGTGAGCTTTCGCGTATCTTTACTAGCGAGAGCTTGATTCTTCTGGCACTTTTAATTTATTTTTCTTTATTAGCGAGATCGCGCGAACCGTACGCCCCCACTTAGATTCATTTTTGCATGCGCTGTTTTCCGAAACGCAAACTCGCTGTTTTTCATATCGCGCAGGAGAAAAATCATCACCCCCTTCTGGGGGTGGATTGATTAAAGACACGAGGAATATGTATTAGGAAAGTAACGTGGTAAAGGACTCACCTTGAGCGATCCTAACTGCCGGCATTTTGATCCTCATTTTGACGGCCGTTAGTAATTAACACACTTACACACTTAAATTATTATAAACAGTTCGCGTAAAACTAAAGTTTTTATTTAAATTACTACACTAAAATTATGACACAAACATAGTATGTCAGTCTGTTATTGTCACTGTTGATGATAAATCACTCACAAACAACATTTTGATAAAAACACTATCCTGTGATTAATTATGATTTACTTATGCGGAGCGCATGTGAATCGTGCGATCACCCTTAGCGGTCGTCCGCATATGACGATACTTGCCCAGTGACAGCGTTCTAGGTCCGCTGTCCCTCTCTTCGGTTAGCGCGCTCGGCTGTTTCCGCACCGGCTCTCGGTATCGTTCGACATTAGCCAAGGGTCGTACGCGTACTATACCGTGTGCCGAAACAAGACAGAGATATACACTTCTCTCTGTCATATATCGGTCCCCGTCTAACGGTGTCCTGCGCACGTGTGTGTTTCATGTGTAGCCCTACTACCCCAAACTTCTTGTGCCGAACGCTACGACTTAGCTCGGGCGCTCTACGGCTGTGTGCGGGTTTAAGATAAGGTCAGCCTGAACCGGACAGCACGATTGGGCCGGCGTTCTGGCTGAATCGGCCAATAGTGTGCCGATGGACATGGGCTACGTATCGGCGAGTGGGACACTACTGTACTTGACCGATGGGGTTGAGTCGAAAAAAATTAAGGGTTGAACATTCCAAGTGGAAATAGATGCAAATAGTTAGAGTTTGACCGATAATATAGAAGATATAGTTATTTTTTATCTATTTTATTCATTTTACTGATTATTGAAAATTATTCAAATGTCGTTATAAGATTAGTTGTATCTAAAATAGTGAACAGAAATACCTAAACATATACACTCGCAAGGTATAAACACCAACTAGCTGTAAGTGAAATTCTGTCTTAAGGCAATTAAGGCATCGTGCCTTAAGGCAAATTGCTGGAACTTCCCGTACCGCAATTCAAAATTCGAGTAGTTAAAAATAATCAATAATAATCAATAAAAGTTGATCAATGATTAGAAACTTTTAATAGAATTTCGAACCATATTAAATCATCTTAAATCATTCTATCTTAAATCATTTATTTTGAAATATTTTGGAAATTCTGAACTTTTTTTCAAAGCAATCATACTGCTTTAACTGCATAAAGACGAAATATCGAACCGCCTAAGCGCCGCGTCGCCGTCTAGCGCGTAAACATTGGTACGGAACCCATAGGAATGTAAACAAAATTTATACTTATTGTTAAAATCTCTATAAAATATCTAATTATTTGATGTGCATATGCCTAATGTGTATTTTTGACCGCCAAATGGCACCTGACTTTCCAAAAATTTGAACAGTTCTTTACTCAGTTAATACAAATAAAATGTTTTTTGAATTATTCAAATCGGACGATCCGTTCTCTTAAAAACTGAGTTACCGTTTTTGGCACTTTTTGCCCAGTATCTTCGGAACGGCTAAACTTGCCTTCGCCAAAAACTAATCAGCACGTCTCCTTATCAATACGAATCGAATGTTTTTTGAATTATTCAAATGGCTTCATCCGTGTTACCGAAATCGTCGACAAAATGTTGTATCCGCATATACACGCACACACACACACACATACATCCATTTTTTCTAAAGTATGCCAAAATGTTCAGAAGGTTTTGAAACGTAAAGATATATAAAAATTTTCATTTTTTGATTTTTTTGCGATTACTATAACTTGCCCTACGGGAAGTTAATAAAACAGTAACTAAAAATAGAAAATAAGTAAAAAAGAGCAATTTCACAAATTTGTAATTATTCCAAGTCAATTCCAAAGTTTCTTACGAAAGTTGAATGCACTGCGATCTTAATAAAAATGTGCACCTGAAATAGTTATTTCAAACCGAAGTTGCATTCATTTTATTTGTACTGATTGTATTTCAAGAAAAAATGATGAAAAGTTCTGTTTATTATGTTTAAAAACACATATACAAGGTATGATTTTATATTTTGTTGTTTAACCTAATAATTGTACCGCATCGCATTCTATTAGTAGCTATTATTCTATAAAACATTTCAATAAAATGATAAAATAATAAAATCAAGTGATAGATTCTTTTGTCCCCCAATTTGTCTTTTTTTACCCCGTCTATGGAATAAAAAGGACCAAGAAACTAATTTTTAAAAAAATGCAAAAAATATTTTTGTAAATTATGAATTAGCTGGAATTAGTATTTGTAGTGATGTAATTGTTTTTCTCGTCAAATTGGACTTTTTTGCCCCGCCTTACCCTATATCCAGTAGAAGGATATAATGACAACCTTTTCTATCATCTATTATGATCCATTTTTAAAAAATTATGTCCTGTTATAATGACCGACAAGCAACGAAACCGAAATTCAGATTCTTTAACATTCCCGAAAATATGGGAGAAATTATACACAATAGTTTTAAAAATAATTTCTACAATAAAATGAAAAAAAAAGAGAATTTACAAACCTATTTCATAATTATGTCGTAACACAATGCGTTATAAGATAAGTTAAAACGTGCGCAATTAATGAAGGAAATTTGCACTTCAAATTATTCTAATCTAACAAAAAATATTTAAAAATGCACGACAATCAAAACAAACATTTGTTGTTTATCTAGTATTTGAAGTATCAATTATGAATTAATTTAATTAACCGATACACAATATATCTTTGTATAAAAGTGTGAAATATAAATAAAGATGTATGAATCATATGGCGGTCGTTAAGCAATTAATGTTATCTGTTTTTTATCGCATTATTTGTTCCTGTCATGAGTATGTATATACCTGCCACATACAAGCTGGAAATAAATTTAATCACCTGCATGGCAAATTATGATTCTTTACATTTTATTATTAGATACAATAAATTACATACTTATTAAAATATTATCTCTTATTGCCATTTGATTAATCTACATAGGTTAAAAGAAAAAAGTTAAATATAGTAAGAAGAAAAATAAAACTAGATACCATAGTATAATTTTTAAGTATATGTATTCAATTGTTTTATAAGCTGTATTATTTTGTGAAATTCGTTTAAAATTGAAAATAAGATATTAGACTTTCTGGCCTCTGGCAGTCTCGTTTAATTTCGATTAAGGGGTAAAAAGAACCAGGTGACAATTTTTTGAAAAATAGCAAAAAAAAACACATTTCTACAATGATAAATTTGATGGAAGATTCACATGCAATAGTCCGATAGTTGATTGTTTGATATGTGTTTTTTGTTATGATGCAATCGGTGTGGTTTTCACAATATAATTGCTCAAACTGATACTGGACCTTTGTGCCCGCCTTATCCTATATACATGTACACTATTTTGAATATATAAAACCTATATGCATTTCTAATAATAAGTAATAGATTAGAAACAGCATAAAAACGTTACCTAAGTTTACCTTAATTAATAAGGCTTAAGTGATGCATATACTATATATCCTCCTAAAAGATCATTTACATCCCTAAATTAAATAAATAAAACATTCCCGAATCAAAACAGCCGTATTCAATAAAATTCTCAAAAAGCTCCTCATTTGATTTAACTCGCGTTGAATAATAATAAGCGAATCTGCGAACACACACAAAGCCAAATAAAAATAAAAATAACACAGCTACTTTGAGAAGATATCAAGGGCGCCGTTTTTCCGACGTCATAATTAATTCCGCGTACTCGCTTGGCACTCGTAGTAGGTAGTACAGACGTAAAGAAAACTCATTTTCCCTCGTTTTTCCGAACCAAAACATTGAACTCGTACCACGAGAAATTTAGACTTAGGGCTAATGAATAATAAATAATAAATTTATTGAATGGATTGGAATTACGAGTGATGCTATTTAGTTTTATTGTATAAAAATTTACAAATGCTGTAGTAATTTGAACTGCTATGACTAATGTGACATGACAAATTTTCTTTCCCTCGAAACCAATAATGTTCTTATAATATTCTTTACTTAAGGTAAACCTTAAACATATTAAACCTTAAAATAATCTAAAATGTTATTATTGAAATTTCATGATTTTGAATTTTTTGTGAAAACCAAACCAATTTTAACACACATCCAACAAACAACTATCTGACTCCCAGCCAATTCTTCATTGTAGATCATAATCTAAATATGCTTTTTAAACATAATAAACATAAAATTTTATTAACTTTTATTACTTCAGCACTTATTTCTGTTTAATTTATTATAATCAGACTAGATGTTTTTATTACAAATGAGGTATTACCTATGTAATACAATTTATGTTAGAAATACCTATTTTATGGGTATATTTTCTATGAAGCTCGCATTAGATACAATTTTCGTATGAAACTGTGCTAGAAAAATTTAACATCGGCGTTAGAAAAACTATTAATTTAATTTATTTCTTGTATAATCGCTTTTATAACCATATTTTATACATTTATTTATATTTTCTTATTGTTTACACTTCGCTAGAGTAAAAGTTTAAGTGGTCCTTTAAAAACTATTAATTTAAATCATCTCTTGTATAATTGCCTTTATAAACATATTTTACACATTTATTTACTATTTTCTTATTGTTTACGCTTCGCCAGAGTAAAAGTTTAGGTGGTCCTTTTTACCCCAATCGCATGCAAACTATTCTAGTGTTTATATAAAAAACTGTTGAGTCTAACTTAAAAATAACAATACATCTTATAAAGAAATAAAATAACGAATACTTAAAAAATATATTCACGTATTGGAAACCAAACCAAAACCGAAACTTTCCTTTTTGAGACAATTTGACAATGTGGTCGTTTAACTCCTGATTGCAATTGCCCGATTTATTTTTTCTCTACTTTAAAGTAGCATCGTTAAAAAATCGACACTTTACTTGTTTTTGAGATAATGGTGGTAAACCTTGTTAATAGAGGACCTTTTGACCCCGCTCCACCATATATGTATAAATTGAACAAATTATGATAAAAATGTTTTTAATAAGATTTTATGAA